GTAATGTTTAAAGGCCGACAATGAGGACTTGACGGGGTTTCAAAGTCCGCGCAATTAGTTCCAGTCCGAGGCGCTAGCCGAGGACTGGAACTAATTGCAAGGACTTTGAAATCCCGTCAAGTCCGAATTGGAGGCCTTTGAACGACTTCAAAAACTCATTAATTATTCGGGAGGGAAAAAAAACGAAGGAAATACATATAACAGAAATATATTGATTTATTGCATCTCCACTAAGGTTTTCAGTTTTCATAATTTTGAATACATGAAGCACCGTTTGTTGTTCTTCAATTCCCGGAAGGCTTTCTGAAACAAAAGCTATTCAAATTGTCTTTGTCTGCTATTCATGGCATTCCTAATGAGCCTAATCCATAAGATTTATAAGTATGTTATCTTCCGAGGAATCGCATCAGAAACTCGGTGGTGTAATGGTATAAGTAAGAGTTACATACCGAGAACGGAGGCAATCAGCCTAATACATCCCGAGCGCCGTAGSCCCGAGGGATGTATGGGCTGATTGCCGACGTTCGAGGTAATGTAACTGGCTTATTTCATACTTGAAGAAGTTTTCCAAGCACTGCATTAATATTTTCATTTTTGTGACGAGAGGCCTTCTGGGAAGGCTCTCGTCATAATGTCATCGTGCAGGTAAATAAGAGTGTAACCACTCCACTTCTACCAGGCGTTCCTGGTGGTAACTTAAACATGTGAATGTAGTAGGAGATCTTTTACGATCGAAGTAATTTCGGGTTTATCGATTTATACGAGACTATACGAAGTTATCTACGAAATCCTGACGTCTGAAATAATCACTGAAAATACGATCAAGAAACGATTTGTSCTGACAATGTGCGTTCTCAGTCTCTTCGATCGTTGATGTGTTTGTGCTTTCGAAGCTGAGTTGTTCTTTCTATTACGGTATAATGTATTTAAACTCTGTTGTGTTCTTTGCATTTACAGTCAAGTGTGTATTTCTAAGGAATATTTTAGATTTTGTAGTGGTTTACGGGGATTGTTTGACAACAAGTCAAAGTCCGATTGCTTCGCTTGGCTTGTTACAGACCAGTCCCGACCGCWTGATTACTGTCATTACTAGATTACACATCAAAATGATTTGACCTATGTTAGCTTATGTTATTGCAGTCTATTTTGACTCATGATGTTAATATTATATGAAAATCAGACTGTTCATAGACAAGAACKTTTATGTAATAATGACAATGTTACATAGTTTTGTGAATAACATTCACTTTTATTGTTCAAATTGCAGTTTATACATAAACAAACAAAAATCTTCTCTTTGTTTAACTTTCTTTGTTTAACATGTGCTCCTTTATCTTTTGCATAATTATGTTAGAGTACAAGCAATAAATGTGTACAATACTACAAAATAGTGCTAACTATTAACAACAGAAGACAATAGAAATAGCATACTTAAGTAGTATTTAGTGGTATTTTGTACACTTCTGTTTGTACTCTGCTTTATAAAATCAGTATAGTTGTTTCCAAAGACTCATGAAATTCACTGTAACCGTCATTTTCTTCCTAATTTACGTGTACTACACTTTATTATTGGACTTTGTTTCACAGGGTTTTACATTGACTCTAATTGAAAATGGCAACAATTCATTAGAGCGCATTCATTATTAGGCTCAGTCTCYAGCCGTCGGGATTTCGTGCGCCCGCGATACTCTCTCCCCTGACGGCTGGGCGCATAGGGTTCAAAACGTGTCGCGCATGTCCGTGACGTTTTTGTGTAATTAGCATATTATGACGTAACGGAAGTGAATTTTTCAGTGAACGGAAGTGAAATATCTGACAACAGCCGTAAAGGTTTTGCTACAAGGCGGGAAATTATGTGAAATGAAAACTTCGCGAAGTAGCGATATAATGTAATAGTTAGCGCTTTAAAAAAGAGAAAGGAATGGAAATTACCCCAAGTAAAACATGTGCAGGGTTTAATAATCCAAATGGATGTATTATCTGCCAGAAAAACGAGCAAAATACACTAGTGGCGCTGTTTGAAAAATAAGAGATTTGCCCGAGCCAGTATAGGAAGAATAACAAGGACATCTTTTCCAAGAACAATCTCTTTAAGAGCCTTTTGCTGTATTTCTCTAAATTCGTCCAAGCTAAACGACTTCAGAGCCTTCAAACAAGCACTTTCAAAGAGAATCTCAAACGACGAATTGTACGCCATTTTGTTACACTGCTGCCTGCTAATTTATTAATGATATGCCCCTCAAAATATCGGGGGCCACTCGCTGATTGGTCAAGACTGACAATAGCGAACCCCATGCGCCCAGCCGTCAGGGGAGAGAGTATCGCGGGCGCACGAAATCCCGACGGCTGGAGACTGAGCCTA